GTTGTAGGAGCCTGGTAGGCTACAGTCTATGGGATCACAAAGAGTCAAACAGGACTGAGCGACTTCACTTTCACTTTCACTTTCAACTGACCATAAGTGCATTAATTTATTTCTGGGATTTCTAGTCTATTCCACTGATCTTTATGTTTGTTTTTGTGCCAGTACCATACTATTTTGATTACTGTAGCTTTGTCATATAAATACTCACCTATATTTTATCCTAAAAAAAAAAAAAGGTTTTCTTTTGTCACTTAAGGCTTTGAGTTATTTGGAGTTATTTTAAGAACTAATTTCACATTTTTTCTCCCATATGGTTGTACCCCAGATTAATTTATTAAATAGCCTTTTTTCCCCTTCCATGCCAACTATCTCAGATATAAAATCCAGTCTATTCAAGGGTCTGTTCTATTCCATTGGACAGTTTGTCTACACTAGAAATATAGTAGCTTAATACAGCTTCTTGTAAGTCCTGATACCTGGTAATGAAGTCTCTCTTCCTTATTCTTTTAAAAATCTTGGCTAATCTTGATCCCTTTCTTCTTCCGCATAACTTTTTTTAACTTTATTTACTTATATATTTTTGGCTGTGCTGGGTCTTCATTGTTGTGCAAGCTTTTCTCCAGTTGCAGTGAGTGAGTGGAGGCTACTCTTCTTTGCAGTGTGCTGGCTTCTCACTGCAGTAGTTTCACTTGTTGTGGAGCGCAGGCCCTCGGGCATGCAGCTTCAGTAACTCTGGCACCTGGGCTCGATCGTTGTGGTTCCCAGGCTGCAAAGCACAGTCTCAGTAGTTGTATGTGGTGTTAGAGGATGTTGGTACATGAACTTAGTTGCTCAGTGGCAAGTGAAATCTTTCTGCACCAGGGATGTGTCTCCTGCATTGGGAGGCAGATTCTTTATCACTAGGCCACCAGGGAAGCCCCCACATAACTTTTAAAATTCAGAAATTTTCAACTTCCATGAAATATGTCAGGATTTTAATTAGAATTGTCTTGAATTGATAGACTTATTTCATGAGAAAATAAATCTTTGAATTATTGCGGCATCTAACTTAAAAGGGGGATGTGCTGCAATTCATGGGATCGCAAAGAGTCGGACACGACTGAGCGACTGAACTGAACTGAACTGAACTGATTCTTTCCATTGATTCAGGTATTTCTTTTGTCTCTTAGTAAATTTTGTAATTTTTCTCATGGGGGTATTGCAGATATTTTGTTCAATTTATTGCTAGGGAAATAAAATGTGTGTGTATGTGTATGTGTGTATTATTATTGTTGTAAGTGGTATTTTTTTAGCCTATGTTTTCTAGTTTTTAATTCTTACTGTATTTAAGTAATTGTTCCATATTCTAAAAATGCAATTGACTTCTGTAATATAAAATATATTCTGAAAATAATGATCAGAGGTAGCTAAAATTACTGAATGGCAGTTATCATTTGCTGAGCACCTACTTTGTTCCAGCGGTGATTTTAAGCATTTACATACATTTTCCTCTTATATTCTCACTGCAGATGTATGGCTTTGAAAAATAATTCTAACAACAGATTTAAAAACCAATATGTAGGAAGATTAAAGTACTTATTTAAAATCACACAGCTAGACAATTGAGTACAGGGTTCAACCCCAAATTATCCTGGCTCTAAAGTATACACTCTTAACTATTTTACCAATTATGACCACCTTCTTAGTTTTAAGGGGAGACAGCAACAATGACAAAATAAACATCAACCACTGTATTTTCTGCATTTCCTGCTTTCCCAGTTAGGACATGAATATACAGGTTGTTTATTCTTAAAGTTGTTTACATTGGTCATCTACAGAAAATGTGAAAAACCTGTTCTACAACAGTGTGGTTACCAATGTCTCTTTAATAGACCAGTCATTGCATTCTTTACTGGCTATACCCTCTACCTGTTGTATCTGTCCCCGTTATAACGAATACCCCTTGATTCAAGAAGGGTTAAGGAAAAGGCTGTGACTTCCAGAATCTGATTTTTCTCAGAGAGACAGTTGTTCTGCCTTGTTTATTTTTATGTAGCTTTACAGATCATGTGTTAAATATGGCACACACCATTCAGCCAGGTTTGTGATAAGCAAAGAAATGCTTTCATTTGTAAGCATGTTATGCCCTACACCCCAAAACCACACAGCAGAGTAAATACAAGGACACACAAGATTTAAATTCTTATATAACAAGCCACATAGACACATAATCATCCCTTAGATTTGCATTGCAAAGCAATTTCACAGTGCATATCCAGTTAATTTAATCTTCCCCAACCAAGGAAGTAAGCTGCGTAGGTGCCACTATGAGCATTTTGTACATAGGAAGGTAAGGCTCAGAGAAAGTAATTCTCCTGGGTCACAGTGCGGATGAGAAACAAAAGCTTCATCTAGACTTACAGAGACTGGTCTCCAGTCTGGTGTTCTCACTTCTCCACAGATCCTCCCCTTGGGATTCAACTTTCCAAAGTCCCAGGGAAAGACATTCCCTTCTGATGCCCTTCTCAAATTTTCTGCTCTAAAAGAGGGTTAATATCCTACTAACATAAAAGAAGCACTGAGCAGGTGAGACAGCCCCATCAGAGTCTGATAACCATCAGAATCCTTTTTTCACTCAGAGTAAATTCAGGTTTTCATTCTGTTGGCCCTGTAATGGATAAGGATAAGAAGCTTGTGGAAGAATCCTGATGGGAGAAACTGACTGAGGGGGAAACTGGGTCTCCTTCTGATGGGCAGGGCCTTGATCAGTAAATCTTTAATCCAATTTTCTGTTGATGGGCGAGGATGTGTTCCTTCCCTGTTGCTTGACCTGAGGCCAAACTATGGTGGAGGTAATGAAGATAACAGTGACCTCCTTCAAAAGATCTTATGCAGAAAACTAATGAAAATGACCACATAGACCACAGCCTTGTCGAACTCAATGAAACTATGAGCCATGACATGTATGGCCACCCAAGGCAGACGGGTCTTGGTGGAGAGTTCTGACAAAATGTGGTCCACTGGAGAAGGGAATGGCAAACCACTTCAGTATTCTTGCTTTGACATGAACAGTATGAAAAGGCAAAAAGATAGGACACTGCAAAAAAATAGAGGAAAACAATAGAATGGGAAAGACTAGAGATCTCTTCAAGAAAATTGGAGATACCAAGGGAACATTTCATGCAGAGATGGGCACAATAAAGGACAGAAATGATATGGACCTAACAGAAGCAGAAGATATTAAGAAGAGGTGGCAACAATACACAGAAGAACTATACAAAAAAGATCTTCATGACCCAGATAACCACGATGGTGTGATCACTCACCTAGAGCCAGACATCCTGGAATGTGAAGTCAAATGGGCCTTAGGAAGCATCACTATGAACAAGCTAGTGGAGGTGATGGAATTCCAGTTGAGCTATTTCAAATCCTAAAAGATGATGCTGTGAAAGTGCTGCACTCAATATGCCAGCAGATTTAGAAAATTTAGCAGTGGCCACAGGACTGGAAAAGGTCAGTTTTCATTCCAATCCCAAAGAATGCTCAAACTACTGCACAATTGCATTCATCTCACACACTAGTAAAGTAATGCTTAAAATTCTCCAAGCCAGGCTTCAACAGTACGTGAACCATGAACTTCCAGATGTTCAAGCTGGATTTAAAAAAGGCAGAGGAACCAGAGATCAAATTGCTAACATCTGTTGGATCATTGAAAAAGCAAGAGAGTTCCAGAAAAATATCTACTGCTTTATTGACTACTCTAAAGCCTTGACTGTGTGGATCACAACAAACTATGGACAATTCCTAAAGAGATGGGAATACCAGACCACCTGACCTGCCTTCTGAGAAATCTGTATGCAGGTCAGGAAGCAACAGTTAGAATTGGACATGGAACAACAGATTGGTTCCAAATCGGGAAAGGAGAATGTCAAGTCTGTATATTGTCACTCTGCTTGTTTAACTTATATGCAGAGTACACCATGAGAAATGCTGGGCTGGATGAAGCACAAGCTGGAATCAAGACTGCCAGAAGAAATATCAATAACCTCAGATATGCAGATGATACCACCCTTATGGCAGAAAGTGAAGAAGAACTAAAGAGCCTCTTGATGAAAGTGAAAGAGGAGAGTGAAAAAGTTGGCTTAAAGCTCAACATTCAGAAAACTAAGATCATGGCATCTGGTCCCATCACTTCATGGCAAATAGATGGGAAAATAATGGAAACAGTGAGAGACTTTATTATTTGGGGCTACAAAATCATTGCAGATGGTGACTGCAGGCATGAAATTAAAAGACGCTTGCTCCTTGGAAGAAAGGTTATGACCAATCTAAATAGCTTATTAAAAAGCAGAGACACTACTTTGCCAACAAAGGTCCATCTTGTCAATGGTATGGTTTTTCCAGTAGTCATGTATGGATATAAGAGTCGGACCATAAAGAAAGTTGAGCACAGAATTGATGCTTTTGAACTGTGGTGTTGGAGAAGACTCTTGAGAGTCCCATAGAAAGCAAGGAGATCCAACCAGTTCATCCTAAAGGAAATCAGTCCTGAATATTCATTGGAAGGACTGATGCTGAAGCTGAAACTCCAATACTTTGGCCACCTGATGCGAAGAACTGACTCATTTGAAAAGACCCTGATGCTGGGAAAGATTGAAGGCGGGAGAAGAAAGGGATGACTGAGGATGAGATGGTTGGATGGCATCACTGACTCAATGGGCATGAGTCTGAGTAAACTCCAGGAGTTGGTGATGGACAGGGAGGCCTGGTGTGCTGCAGTCCATGGGTCTGCTGAACTGAACTGAACTGATGCTGGGAAAGATTGAAGGTGGGAAGAGAAGGGGATGACAGAGGATGAGATGGTTGGATGGCATCCCTGACTTGATGGACATGAGTTTGAGTAAGCCCTGGGAGTTGGTGATGGACAGGGAAGCCTGGAGTGCTGCAGTCCATGGGGTCGCAATGAGTCGGACGTGACTAAGTGACTGAACTGACTGAAATTCAGGTTACCTTCTTAACAGGCATTCCTTGAACCTAGCAGCTCTAAAGCGGCAGAATTCCACACGGGTCTTCCCAAATATCAGCATCCTTTTCACTGTATGTTGAAAGAGGAGAGCCATGAGGGGATGCTGTTGGGACCTGTGACCCTGGAGAGAAATCTGGAAGAGCACTGGTGCCCCATTCACTGTATGTTGAAAGAGGAGAGCCATGAGGGGATGCCGTTGGGACCTGTGACCCTGGAGAGAAATCTGGAAGAGCGCTGGTGCCCCATTCACTGTATGTTGAAAGAGGAGAGCCATGAGGGGATGCCATTGGGACCTGTGACCCTGGAGAGAAATCTGGAAGAGCGCTGGTGCCCCATTCACTGTATGTTGAAAGAGGAGAGCCATGAGGGGATGCTGTTGGGACCTGTGACCCTGGAGAGAAATCTGGAAGAGCACTGGTGCCCCATTCACTGTATGTTGAAAGAGGAGAGCCATGAGGGGATGCTGTTAGGACCTGTGACCCTGGAGAGAAATCTGGAAGAGCACTGGTGCCCCATTCACTGTATGTTGAAAGAGGAGAGCCATGAGGGGATGCTGTTAGGACCTGTGACCCTGGAGAGAAATCTGGAAGAGCACTGGTGCCCCATTCACTGTATGTTGAAAGAGGAGAGCCATGAGGGGATGCTGTTGGGACCTGTGACCCAGGAGAGAAATCTGGAAGAGCGCTGGTGCCCCATTCACTGTATGTTGAAAGAGGAGAGCCATGAGGGGATGCCGTTGGGACCTGTGACCCTGGAGAGAAATCTGGAAGAGCACTGGCCCTGAGTGACCCCAGGTGCTTTGTGGTGTGTGAACGGAGGAGACCCCTTGCCCCTATTTTTTGCCTGCCATATCCCATAGTGAGAAGCTGTCTTCCCTTCTACATAACCCCCCTTGGCAGGATAGAACCAGCTTCCAAGATGGGCTAGAGTCCTAAATCAGAAACTCCAGCTTTCTCTTGAATAAAGACTCAGTGAAAGAAAGTGAAAGTCACTTCGTTGTATCCTACTCTTTGCGACCCTATGGACTATACAGTCCATGGAATTCTCCAGGCCAGAATACTGGAGTGGGTAGCCATCCCCTTCTCCAGGGGATCTTCCCAACCCAGGAATTGAACCCAGGTCTCCCACATTGCAGGCAGATTCTTTACTAGCTGAGCCACAGTAAATGTGTGTGTTTTCTACCAGTATTTTTCTAAGTATATGTGTCCAACTCTTTGTGACCCCATGGACAATAGTCTGCCAGGCTCCTTGGTCCATGGAATTCTCTAGGCAAGAATACTGGAGTGAGTGGCCATTCCCTTCTCCAGAGGATCTTCCTGACCTAGGGATCAAACCCAGGTCTCCTGCATTGCAGGCAGATTCTTTCTGTTGGAGCCACCAGGGAAACCCTTGTTTTATTACATGATGAAGTTATATTGAGGATAAACTTTTTTTAAAAATTACCTTTTAAAAAAAATTACCTTTCTAAATTAACATATTTTGGGCATTTTTGAGGTGTTCAAAACTTTTTCAAAAACTACCTTCTAAAGCCTGAAAAATATTCCATCATTTTGACATACAACAATTTATTCAATCAATTATACACCATTAGTCACTTAGGTAGTTTTCCTTTCTCGTTAAACATCTTTGGGCATAAATATATGTGCACACTTCTGATTATTTTAGGATAGATTCACACATGTAGAATTCTTAATGAAAGGTTGCCTGCGTGTTTGCATGCTAAGTTGATTCAGTCATGTCTGATTATACACAACCCTACGGACCGTAGCCTGCCAGGCTCCTCTGTCCTTGGGATTCTCCAGGCAAGGATACTGGAGTAGGTCCCCCTCCTCCAGGGGACCTTCCCAACCCAGGGATCAAACCCATGTCTCTGACATCTCCTGCATTGGCAGACAGGTCCTTTACCACTGGGGAAACTCTAATGAAAGGTTAGGAATATTTTTAAGATTTTTGATACAAAATTGCCTAACTACTTTGCAGAAAGCCTGCACCAATCTACGCTCTTTCCACAGTGGAGATGAAAAATGCTGACCTTACCAGATTATGGGTGTTGTCACTTTTCAAACTCTTGTTACTTTGATAAGTTTTTAAATGGCATCTCAAGGTTATTTGTTTGAATACTTCTGATGTTAACATTTTCCAATTTTGTTAGTCATTTTTATTGTCCTTTGCTTACTTAAAAAACTTGAAGTCATAGTGTTCCTCTTTATTTCTTTAATTATTAAGGATATAAATCCTTTTTCAGAAATATCTGTAGCAAATGCTTTGCCAGATTGTTGTACAGTTTTTCAATACTGTAATGTCTTGACATACTTAACTTTTATATTGTCATTGAGAAATCTGTCGCTCTTTTCTGACTCCATCTGTTAGTTATCTTTATAGAGAATCCTTTCTTACCCAGAGCCCTGACAAATATCCATCTCAATATCTTCAAATTTTGATTTAACTTAAAATTTTCTCTTTTATCCATCTGGATTTATTTTGATATCAACGGTGTGTGAGGCAATACATTTTTTCTTTGTTTTCAAATAGCCATATTTTTTCAACAGATTTTAACAGATTCAACATGGACTGAATCTGATATTAAATTGAACCAAAGACACCCACGCACATATACAACAAAACAAAAGGTCAGTGAGAGGATTTTGTGCTGGAGGGATTCGTAAAGCTGGGGTATTCTGAACCCTGATGGATTGTTCAATAAGCACTAAGAAAATTGTCAGATAAAACAAGTATTTGTCAGTAACTGAGTGGGTTCCGAGTTGTCCCTCTTTCTCTTCCTCCACAAGTGGGGGTCTCCCTTCACCACTGCGAACTGTCCTAAGTTAAGTAACCAAGAGTTGGGGCAGACTAGGGTTCTTTCATAATGTTAAGACCTCCATCAGCCTCTGGAAAAGGAGATGTACCTGAGAGCAAGTTAACAGTTGATGAGGAATGCCAGAAGGGGTAGGGAAGTATACGTCTCACACACAGATCTAGACTGAACACTTATCAACAATCAAGCTGTTTGTGCTCCTTCCATGTTCTCACATTCAGTTCTGCATGGTTCTAGCATTACACTTACAACATCATATTATTTATCTTCATGTGTTTTTTTCCTTCCCTCTTATCCTGCTCTTAGGTTGTGGGTGTGATATTTGCTTATGGAAGTAAAATAATTCCCAGTAAAGCACATATTAGTAGATTGTTCAATGATAAACATAAAAAAACCACTTAACACCCCAACATAAAACATTGCCATTATACTAGAAAGTTCCTCTATACCCCTTTCTAGTTATCACCCTCCTCCGTCCTGAAGCAACCATTCTTCTGATTTCTGTCCCTACAGACTAGTTGTGCCTATTCTTAGGTTCCATAGTAACTGAATTTTTCAGTATGTATTCCTGTGTGTCTGGATCCTTTCAGTCTATTACATAACATTTCAGAGATTCGTCCAGGTTGGTTCAAGTACATTTTCAATTTAGTTCAGTTCAGTTCAGTTGCTCAGCTGTGTCCGACTCTTTGCAACCCCATGGACTGAAGCACGCCAGGATTCCCTGTCCTTCACCAGCTCCCAGAGCTTGCTAAAATTCATGTCCATTGAGTTGGTGATGCCATTCAACCATCTCATCCTCTGTCGTCCCTTTCTATTTCTTTCTGTTGCTGACTAGATTCCAACACCATTTGTTGGAGAGCCTATCCCTTCCCCATTGATTTGCCTTAGCACCTTTGGGAAAGATCATTAGATTGTAACGATGGGGTTTTTTTTTCCTGTTCTATTGATTTGTTTGTCTATCTTAGAAATTGATAAATTAACACTAATGTTTACATGGAAATAAAAAAGTCCAAAGCAATCATTTAAAAAATATTAAAGATTTCATAGAGATACTTAAAATCAAGCTATGTACATTCTCCAACTATTTTAATAGTTCATCAATTTCTGTGTAAAATTGGCTGGAAATTTGGTTGGACTTGCATTGAATCTATTGATCCATTTTGTGAGAATCATCTTTACAATTTTTTATTCCACCACCCCATAAGTATGGGTATATTTCTCTCCATTTATTTGATCTTTTTTAATTTTTCTCAGCAAGATTTTATATTTTTTAAGTGTAGAGTTCTACATCTCTTAAAAATTTTTGTAGGTATTTTCATACACAAAAATAAACTCAAAAAAAAAAAATAAACTCAAAATGGATTAAAGATCTAAATGTAAGACCAGAAACTATAAAAATCCTAGAGGAGAACATAGGCAAAACACTCTCCAACATAAATCACAGCAGGATCCTCTATGACCCACATCCCAGAATTTTAGAAACAAAAGCAAAAATAAACAAATGGGACCTAATGAAACTTAAAAACTTTTGCACAACAAAGGAAACTATAAGCAAGGTGAAAAGACAGCCCTCAGATTGGGAGAAAATAATAGCAAACGAAGCAACGGACAAAGGATTAATCTCAAAAATATACAAGCAACTCCTCCAGCTCAACTCCAGAAAAATAAATGGCCCAATCAAAAAATGGGCCAAAGAACTAAACAGACATTTCTCCAAGGAAGACATACAGATGGCAAAAAAACATGAAAAGATGCTCAACATCACTCATTATCAGAGAAATGCAAATCAAAACCACAATGAGGTACCATTACACGCCAGTCAGGATGGCTGCTATCCAAAAGTCTACAAGCAATAAATGCTGGAGAGGGTGTGGAGAAAAGGGAACCCTCTTACACTGTTGGTGGGAATGCAAATTAGTACAGCCACTATGGAAAACAGTGTGGAGATTTCTTAAAAAGCTGGAAATAGAACTGCCATATGACCCAGCAATCCCACTTCTGGGCATACACACTGAGGAAACCAGATCTGAAAGAGACACGTGTACCCCAGTGTTCATCGCAGCACTGTTTATAATAGCCAGGACATGGAAGCAACCTAGATGCCCATCAGCAGACGAATGGATGAGGAAGCTGTGGTACATATACACCATGGAATATTACTCAGCCATTAAAAAGAATTCATTTGAATCAGTTCTAAGGAGATGGATGAAACTGGAGCCCATTATACAGAGCGAAGTAAGCCAGAAAGATAAAGACCATTACAGTATACTAACACATATATATGGAATTTAGAAAGATGGTAACGATAACCCTATATGCAAAACAGAAAAAGAGACTCCGATGTATAGAACAGACTTGTGGACTCTGGGAGAAGGCGAGGGTGGGATGTTTCAAGAGAACAGCATCAAAGCATGTATATTATCTAGGGTGAAACAGATCACCAGCCCAGGTTGGGTGCATGAGACAAGTGCTCAGGCCTGGTGCACTGGGAAGACCCAGAGGGATCGGGTGGAGAGGGAGGTGGGAGGGGGGACCGGGATGGGGAATACATGTTAAATCCATGGCTAATTCATTTCAATGTATGACAAAAACCACTGCAATGATGTAAAGTAATTAGCCTCCAACTAATAAAAATAAATGGAAAAAAAAATTTGTAGGTATTTTATAACACTGAATCTGTTATAAATCCTATTGACTTTTAATTTCCTTTTCTAATTGTTGATAGTATGCAGACATATATTTTTTTCATATTGACCTTATATCCTTGAAACTTGCTGAATTTACTTCTTAGACTTGGTAGGATTTGGAGGGCAGATTCCTTTGAATTTTCTGTGTGTAAATTATGCCTTTATAAATAAAGATAAACTTACTTCTCCTTTCCTAGTCTTTACAAATTTTGTTTCTTTTTCTGCCTAGTAGAAAGCCCTCACATAAAATGTTGAATAGAAGCAAGGAGAGTAGGTATCCTA